ATCACCGCGGATCACAATTTTAGCCTTCATTGTGTCCATTTTACTATTTACGAGTCGCTTCATCTTGCAAAATTCCTTTGCTGGTAGTGATCTAGCGCTTTGGGAACGAACAACAATGCTCCACGTCTTGTTCGTCTCCATAGAATACAACTCTTCCTGGTCGTCGTGCCTGTTGATGATAAGCGGATCATGTTCATCCACTTGACACTTGTTTTTAGCCGTGTAGCCCTAACTTCGAATGCCATTTGAGGCAGTGAGTCTTGACTTGGTAATAGGGCGGAATGATCTGAGATGCAACATTTGACAACAAAGTTGTATTCTGTGCGTCAAAACCATTTTCACCGTCCGCTTAAGCCCGAATTTGAGCCTTCGTTTTGTCTCTTGTCGATCTGTGCACACGTTCAATTAGTTGTTGTGGATTTTCATTTTTATCTTGTGGAGAACCGTCTTGTTTGCTTGTTTAACCTCGACCCGAGTTGCGTAATGTTGCTTTTTGGCATTGTGTGCACGGAGCGACGCGAGCACTTCTAGTTTGACCAATTCCTAGCACATGAGAGCATCGGCGAAAAGATTGTTGGTATAGGCATCAAGTGTCTCAATATTTGTGACATAACGCGTCGTGAAAACCGAGATGTCACAACAGAGTAAAATCTTGAGCCCGTGGTATCTTGATCCTTACCCAGAATACAGCCGCTGATTAAGTGAGAATTAAGACTCTTTTCGTGAGTGTCGCGCCATACTTGAAGAGGCGAGCAAAAACTACAATTTCTTGTAGATTGGGTACTTGTTAGCGTTATATCCACTTGGAAATATTGCTTCGCGTAGGCACATGTGGGGCTTTTGTTAAGGATGTAACGTCATCCTAGACAGCATCGCTCCACTGAGTGAGTAGTTCATCGGATACAAAGAGTATAGTCCTGACCATTTTATAATCTTCCATCAATCCTCAAAGCCTTGCCTTCAAATCATGGCGATCCATTCTCGTTTTTCTGCTTCTAATGCCGAATACCTTGTTAAGAGATTCACCGACAAAGTAAGAGGCCCACCACCACATCTGTGCACAGAACGCGATTACGGCAGTTCAAGTTGGCTTCAAGCCGGGCAACGTAATCCAGAACCTTGGCTGCTGCTGGATCCTTGTGTGTCACCCCAAATTCTCGGACCTGTTTGGAATTGTAGTCGATAAGAGTAACTAAGTGTTCATTCCCTTATGTTTCGTACGGCGTCATTGGACTCTTCAGATCACCGCAGATGACGCCTCCGATTCTGTAGGTTAATGAGATTTCCCGGAGTCTTTCTTCGACTGGGCGGTACGTGCGACCTTCTCTCTAGAACAAGTAACGCATCTGAAGACCTTGCCGCAAGTAGTTTTTATGATATGGTTTGGATACATAGCTATGCGCTCCATAAGGTCGAAAGTCAGATGACCTAGACGCGTGTAAAATTGCATCAGCGTGCACACGCGAGGTAGGGTCTCTTGAGTTTCGTCCGCAAAAGATAGAAACATCTCCGATAGCCAATGTTTAGTCATATGCGACCCGTCGAGCCTCATAACTTTTGAAGATAAATACGAATGAAGTCGTCCGATTTTAACAACACAACTTAAACGAACTTTTCAATTCTACCACTATCAGTAGCGTAGTCAACAAAGTGACACGCGATTCTCTACATTCGTACATATAAGATGAGACGCAGATCCTTAGAAAGCGATGCAGCGTAGTAGACGTCGAAGAGAGTGATCTCATGAATATCATTATCGAACAATGTCTCGAATGTTACTTTGTCAAAATTTGTGACTTGGAGTGTTTCTTCATTCGGCAGTGTATGTAAATATTTATCAACGCACTCCACATCATCTTGAAGAAGAGATTTGACTCCTACGAGGTGGCTACTTTCTACAGAGCATATTGCTCAGCTTCACAGAATGCCTGAGTCAATATCAGCGAATGCGTTGCAGCTTTGCTGAAACTGACCACAGCTATAGCAATCTGATTTATTGTAGTCGATGTACCCCGAAACCCTTCGTGCGTGACTTCGACCGGGTATTATTGTTTGCAGTGTCCAGTTGATCCTTATGGGTCCTACTTTCTTGACTCGCCAACTGCTGCAACAACATCGTGACCCCGATACTTCGCTTCCTTATGATAATCCTTAAGATCGTAAACCCACACAATCACTTCTTGAGCGTGTGCGACATAGTCATGGCGATTCGAGTGATGCCTAATCAACACCATGCGCTTGTATTTTTGGAGCTGCATGCTCAACGATGTTGTCAATTGTTTTCATTCGCTTGACTCAGCGATTCGATTAAGATGTATAAGTTACGAAAGGTGTCGAGGCCACTCCGAAACGGTTCCTTCTGAGCCATGAAAAGGTCTGACGATTTGGTATCAGTTACCGTCACTTGATAGATCTTATTCATTCCTTTGAGAAAGAACAGTAAAGGCGATAAAATAGACCATAAAGTCGCCATGTTCGGGCGAAATCGTTCGAAACAGTTGAGTCTTTATCCGAGGAACCTTCAATCTTGTTTATTCCAAAATCTCTCCGCGCAGCGATATCCGGTCGCCAGCTCCGCCATTTCCAGCGCTTCGAATACCGGGAATGTCCATTCACAACATCGGCTTACCTATCTAACGTACAGCCCCTTCCCTTAAACATCTAAATATCAGCTTTGACGTACTAATATCCGGAACAAAAATCAGTGCCGCAACAAATAGCGCTATACTACCCTAAATTCGCTCCTCATCGAGCCTTGACGTAGTTCAGGAGTCTGCTGGACGAAGTGTCTAGCTTCCTTCACGTATATATCACCTTACGCGAAATCATACGTACCAGCGTGTGCACGTTGCCCTTGTTCAGATCTAAAGCGTTAAGCGGGACACACCAAACAATACATCCTTCTGGGCAACACTCGAATCCAAAGGTGCTTCGGTGATGCGTTGGTGGTTTCAATAGCTCTTGGACGAAAGCTTGACCATCAATTGATCTGACGATCGGACTTGACGCGACCTATCTCTCCAATCCGTCGAGCCTAGGACTCAGCTTCCGAAGCAGCGCAAGAATATTAACGTCTTCATATGTTCTTGGGATCGAGGCGTAACTGATTCGTTTTCTATGATATCCTTTTGTGAAGGCGTAATTGGTCTTGGCGATGTGCGTTTGCTACGCTGACGACAGGTTTGCAGAGTGTAAGCTCATGACCTGTAGGAATAGAGATCGATAGCGCAGTATGAAATGAAAAAGTAAATATGTGTAGAGTGGTTAATCTAGTGGATATATTCAGCCGTCATGGTTGCCTTGTTGTATGCATACATCAATATCTGTTGCAAGAACCTTGAGGGTCATTAATGTTAATTGGACCCGGCCACGAACAGCATTCAGGTGAATTAGCGCTTACTTACCGGCCCAGGTTATATTAGAGATCTCGCATATAAATACACCCGTGTAAATAGACCATCTTAAACTCTTCTTAAGTCATGTTGCCCCTCATTTGTGCACCATTCGCATAGTATTTCTGGATACATAGGGGCTCAAGCCCCTTTCATTTGTCCATGCAAAAGCTCTAGCGATGAGGTATCTGCAATTCACGATTCGAATGCCCGTTACAGGCACAGTAGATATATTTTGTCTAGATGGCGCTGGACCAATTATTATCGCGTCACGCAAAGGGTTGCTTGACCTTGCGCGAATAGGCTGTAGTCTGCGGTTATCACATTTTTTTCGTAACAGTGCCATCAGGTCCAACTTTCGGATACTGACATATCACGTTTTTTGTGTGAAACTTTCTCGATCAATCCCGCAGGTCATGGACCGGCCGGTGAAGCTTCAGACGACAAAAATGAGATATCATATTACAACGTGGATACGAGCAGGAATGGCAGCTTCCAATGAACCCTCCTGAGTGACAAGTTCTAACGTCGACGAGTTAAGAGCCTGAGTACGCGGAACTATTTTGACAACGATTTCCGCTGATTCGTAGCTCTGACTATAACGGGTCACCCCAATACATGACATCGCATTTGACACAACCTCCACATTAATTTGTCGCACGAAGTTATATACAACAAAAGATCGACAAGAAAGCTCTGTAGCTCGCCTTTTGACATCGGTGATTGAGATTGAATAACAAACTGTAATGACGATGGTTTCAGCAATACATTCGAATGGTTGAAGTCGCCAATCAGGTGACAATTCGAACTCCATTAGGTGGTGCAGAAACAGCTTTGCCTCGGCTGACGTGCGATTTAGCAATTTGTTAACGTCCTCGATGCGAAATTGAGCAAGAGGATAAATGGCAGAGACTTCACTGACCTTGTACGTGTAAGAACAACAAGAACAACGCTAACAACAACAACAAAGAATCGACTATGGTGACATATTAGAGCGTTTTGAGAAATTGAAAGTCTACGAGCTTTATCTGCCGACAAGTGAGGAAGGTGATACTTCTCTCTATCTTTTTTATAATACTGGTGGTGGAGATATTGTCAGTCATAACAATGTCGATAAGTGTTACTTTAATCTGTTCAATCAATACGTAAGTGGCCATTTTACGAGTGACGCCTCAAGCCATTAGCTATTACACAAACAACCTGCACCCACTTGAGAAAGCCAGCCCTTGCTTCCCTGAATGAATGTCATACTCTCGCGTCAGATGTCCAGCATGCAGATTATGCACTCCGGATCGCGCTCTCAGTACTTTGGGTCTTCGTTGCTTGTTCCTTGACAATTGCTGTCCCAAATTCCAACCGGCTTCGCTGCCGTACAGCGAGCGACCAGCTGCTATCAGATATGGCAGGTGCATCGAGTTCTCCGTCCACCAACTGCCTTTTTCAATGATCCGTTCGCCTATCGCCGTCGTCATTCGAGACTCAGCCCGCTCGAAAGCTGCGCGACATCTTTCAGCGAATGAGATGATTTCATTCCTGTTGTTTTCAGCGAATCAGCGGTGCCAACGACCCGCGATCTAGTCACTGGTGATAAACAAAGCAGACAAGAAGATGCCGACCGTCGGGGTGAAGCGCGACGAGTTGTTCGCGGCCATGGGCCAGACGTTCACCGACGAGGAGTTCGACGTGCTGTGCTTTGAGTTTGGTATCGAGCTGGACGACATCACGAGTGAGAAGCAGCTCAAGCAGCGTGAGCAGCAGGGCCAAGACAAGGACTATTCAGCCCACTCGGACGCTGTGCTGTACAAGATTGACGTGCCAGCCAACCGCTATGACCTACTGTGTGTCGAGGGCATTGCCCGTGCACTGCGTATCTTTATGGAGAAGGAGCGGCCTCCTGTGTTCTCGCTGACGCCGAGGGCAGCGGGCGCACACGAAGTAGTGGTCAAGTCATCCACGAAGGTTCGTTGGCTGGCACGAGTGTACCGAGTGCAGATGGATATGAGGAAGCCCTGGACTGAGCGTGTTGTTCTCGTTGCGTGATTGCTTGTTGCAGCTTGTGCGGCCGTTTGTGGTCTCGGCGGTGCTGCGAGACGTGCAGTTCACACAGGAGCGCTACACGAGCTTTATTGACCTGCAAGACAAACTGCATCAGAACATTTGTCGTCGTCGTACGCTAGTGGCAATTGGCACGCACGACCTCGACACGATTGAGGGACCGTTTACGTACAATGTACGTGAGTGCGAAGTAGTTTGTTATAGGAATGGGTGGGACGTGAGGCTGACGGTGCTTTTTGTGTCAATTGCTCTCTCGCTGTCTCTTTCTCTTTCTCTCGCCGTTTTTATGCTGCTGACTTGCAGGCGCTACCACCAAATGAGATCAAGTTTAGGCCGTTGGCTCAAAGCAAGGACTTCGAGGCGAAAGAACTGTTGGACTTCTACCGCACAGATCCGGATGTGAAGCACATGAAGCCATACACGGACATCATCTATGATTCGCCAGTGTACCCCGTAATTATGGACAAGAATGGCGTGGTACTGTCGCTCCCGCCCATTATTAATGGCGATCATTCGAAGATCTCGCTACGCACGAAAAATGTGTTCATCGAGTGCACGGCGACTGACATCACCAAGGCTAATGTCGTGCTGAACACGATGGTCGCTATGTTCTCCGAATACTGTGCGACTCCTTTTACGGTGGAGCCTGTGCGTGTGATCTATGAGGACGAGAGCGTGAACGCGAGTAGTCTGACTCCGGACTTGAGTAAGCGCTCGGTGGAGGTACAGGTCAAGGATGTCTATTCGATGCTTTTTGGCAAGAGTGAGCCGCTTAGCCTGGACGTTGACCGAATTTGCAAATTGTGCGACAAGATGCAGCTGGACACGAAACCATCAGACAATGGAAAGTCTGTCACTGTAGAGGTCCCGATTACGCGCTCGGACATTCTGCACCCCGTTGACGTGATTGAGGATATCGGCATTGCGTACGGCTTCAACAATATCCCACTCACGATACCTCAGACCCAGACCATCGGTATGGCTCAGCCCCTGAACAAACTGGGCGACCTTTTACGTGATGAGATCAGTCGTGCTGGCTACATTGAGCTGCTCACCCACGGTCTGTGTTCACACAAGGAAAACTTCGAATATCTAAATCGTGAGGACGACGGTCACTCGGCTGTTGTGCTGTCAAATCCAGCCACCATTGAGTTCGAGGTTGTCCGGACGTCGATGTTACCGGGTATGCTGAAGACATTGCAGAACAACAAGGCCATGTCGATTAAGGAGGGCCTGAAGTTGTTTGAGGTGTCGGACGTCGTCGTGATTGATGACGACACGGATGTGGGTGCCAAGAATGTGCGTCGAATTTGTGCTGCCTACACCGGCCTGACGGACGGCTTTGAAGTCATCCATGGTCTTGTTGACCGCATCATGCAGCTGATGGGCATTCCATCCGCGCTGGAGATGCCCGTGGGTACGAAAGAGTACTACACCATCACGCCCGCAGATGAGCGTACATACTTTCCCGGCCGTTGCGCATACGTGATGGTGCAGAAACAAGACGCCGAACCTCTGCGTTTGGGTGTGTTTGGCGTGCTGCACCCCGTGGTGCTGAAGAACTATGACCTGCTCAACCCGACGTCCGTTGTGGAGATGGATTTGGAGCCTCTGCTGTAATTTCGATCACCAGGATGATACATGACCCTACCAGGTGTGTCAAAGCGGCGGTGTCGCACAGCATGGAGGCCGTGTAGACCAGCAAGTGCTGGACAATATGGCAAGCTAATGTGGCAGGTGAATCTTACTTATGCACATGTGTCCGGGTGTTCATCATGCCTTCGGTTTTCACGTGATGCAGGCGCTCATGTGGATGAATAGTTGTAGATGAAACTGCTACGTCATCATCCATTGTTCGCCGGCGGCAGTAGCACTGGCACAAGTACACGACACAAAGTTGGTCCAAAGCGGCAACAACATTCACGTACCATGGCCGAACGAAGTGCACGGACAGCATGCGACTCAGCAGGTCCTCGCCGATCCGGGCGAGTCATCCGTTTGTGGCAGGTAGGGCCAGTCGCGACAAAGGCGCAGTTTACCGCCGGGAGCGCATGTACTGCAAACATAAACTTGATACGTCCGCACTCCATAGCACCCGCCACACCTGAGCTGCAAACGTGCATATGTGCGAGGGTTACGATGCGTCACGATTCCGCAAGAGACCAGTGTATGCCGCCGCATCTGCGCAAAAGCTCAGCGTGCATCGCTCACAACGTCTGTTGATGTTACACACCATGCGTGGGTCAGTATACCATCTTGATGAATTACCATCAGGCATGATGTCAACAGGCCACCGTCCAGACCGATCAAAGCTACACCGTCAATCGTAATTAGTGTGCATCACACTGTTTTCAACCTTTCGGCTTGCTGGCCCTCACAGGTATTGGCACACTAATTTGGAATCCACACTATAAGCCAATCCACACTCATTAAGGGTAACGGTGCACCGAGTTTTAATGAGGCCTCTCAGCAAGTACACAATTGTGTTCGCATTCGCCGAAGTCTTTCTCATTTCCTTCCTTAACACTCGTGCTGCACGTCATCGACACAAAGAGAGTCACTGTGTCGTGTCGGCTTCGAAAGATGCAAAAGCGCCGTCAATGTGCACAGGACAACAGTAGACCGTGGACCTTGTGACGGCCGTCGCTTGATCGGGTTTGCATCCCTTGAAGTGCCGCATACTCTACAAAGACATACGCTTCTGTCTCACTTTGCCTTCTGAGTATCCACTCCAAAAAAAGCAGCGCTTTTTATAGGTGACAAAGCTGATAGCGTCAACTTTCGACTCAAGACCTTATGTGGAACTCCGAACGTTGTCACCAAACGCATCGTCTTGCCGAAGCTTTTCGATGAAGAGCTTTGCGACGGTGGACCAACACTCCCGTGCAAACGTTTCCATCAGGAGTGTCCCATTCTTGTTGACGCGCTGTACAATATGACGCACTACACAAAACCGCTTGCCCCTTTTCCGTGTTCGCATTAATCTAATTCTTTCTCCTATGACCAAAACGCGCCACACGTCGGGCACACTCGTGTGCGAGACACGGTCTGACACACGAAATACATGCCCGTGCGTCGAAAGAACATGTCTCCTGCAGTGCTGAGCACTGTACAAATTTCGCGGTCATTGCGCAGTGCCGAGTCCAATCAGCTCGGCATAGAGTCAATATACTGGAGCAGTCGCTGCTCTGAGATGCTTCCATCTAGACCAGGGATGCCCCCGCCTTCGCTAGCAACGAACTTAAAAATCGGTTCTTCGCACTCAAACCCGCCGAGATTATACGGGGCCTCCGAAGGGGTATAAATGACACCGTCCACCTCGTGCGTAACGCTCTTGGCAAACTTTGTCAGCATGTACTCAGTCTTGGCGAGACGAAAGTGATCCTTCATCCGCACACGAAAAGGTTCCTTCGTGTAATCGAATGACTTGTCCTGATCATGCACATACAAACGCATCGTAAGTTAGTGATACCTTACGTTGCTTCAAATTTGGAACCCAAGCGTACATTCTTGCGAGGAACAATGATCTCGTTCTGTAAACATTGTAACCGCTTCTCCAGTTTCTTCTGCCACGTTGGCACACCTTCCAGGAAAATGACGTCAAACGCCAGATAGCGGGCCACCTTCGTATCATGATCCTGGTCCTCTACAATAAGCCCGTCAATCAGCGTGTTTACTTGGCACTCGTTCTGCTCATACGACGTTGCCAAATAGTAGCTGAGAGTTAGTTGTTGTGCTCACGTGGCGATACTTGAGCCTCACACACGTACCGGCGCTCTTCGTCGCGGAAACTTCATGTCTACCTTCGTGAAGGTCATGTCGCGCGACACAACGTAAGTCCCCCCGCTGGCCACATAGAGAAGACACCGACGACTGTGATACACAACGAGTTGGCACCTTATCAAAAACTCGACACAGCGTCCATACAAACGCACCCTCGTGCTCGCCACGTAACAAGATAAGCCTTGGTCAAAGCCCCCTTGCGTTTATACGCTCCTTCTGCAACGTGCGTTGCTGTAAAAGGAATCGTCTGAATCATGCCAAACGCGTCACCAGAAATAATCGCCATTGCGCAAATGTTGTGTCTGCTTACCTCACATCCGGGGAACCCTTCCACACCCGTCAGCTTCTTCAAAGACTTGATCGCTTGCTCGTGCTCCGCCGATGAAGTTGCAAGCGTCTCACCGTACGCTAGAGGCTCCACCTCATCCATCCAAGAGCGGACTTTTCGACGTTTTGCCGAACGTTGGTCTTGACGATCCGGTGGAATGTACATAGGTGCTTTGTACACCGGAGCTCCATGCACACTAACGGGTGTGACCGTCCGTCCATTACCGACCGACACATCCTTTGCGGAGATAGTACTGACGACGGCAGTTTTATTCGATCGCACAAATTTGTTCCCGCGATCCTGTTCCGTTATGACCTCATTGCCAATGGGAGCTTCGCTATCGTGCTTACCGATTTCGTCCTTTTCCCATCGTGGAGGAGCAGGAACCGTAAGTTGTGTCTCCTCAGACGGCAGCGTGCTAAAGTACTTGCGATACAGTCGCTGCGTCAGCATACATCAGTGTGAACGACCACATGAACACAGTTTACTACCGCACCGGCCGTTCTTCCAACACAGGTCAAGCACCCACCCACCTACCCACCTGTAAGTAATGTCTCGAGTAGATTCCAGGCGGGGTCGAGACTGCAAACTCCTCTACCGCAGTATCGAGGTTCAAGCCGCAATGTTCGACCAAAAAACTATCAGAGTCACAGTTACCACCACGCGCACTTTACGTCCACTCAACGTCCCAGCGATCGCCACGCACCTCACAATGAGGAAGCCCACGAAGTTATAGCCCTGAGCACCAAAGACCGCCACGTCCATATCTTTTCGCTCGCCTGCCAAGTGGTTTGCGACCGACTTGCAAAATGCTGCCGCCATCTTGTCGTCATGCACGTCCGGATTCGTCTCCTCGTCTATCAGCACACAGCCAAAGACACCACAGCATCCACGTGACTCCCTTTGCTCTACGCTTGCACACACACATCGCTGTCCAGGGCTCGTCTACCTGCCGTCCCATCGACGCTCAGCTTCAAGTACTGCACGTCCCAGTCGTCCCACTCCCTACCAGGCCATACACAACAGCACGCACTGTCACCTCTCCCACTCGCTTGTCCTTGTTGTCAAACCCACTCGCAACGCACTTGACGTCGTGCAGAAACGTGTCGCTGCCCGTTGCATCGATGACGAGCCCCACGTTGACGACAGCTCCCGACCGCGTGTCGACAATCAGTTGCTCCATGACGACAGACGGCGCGTAACTCTTTCGAGTCGAAAAGTGGATCTCGTAGCTACAGGCACACGAGACGACGCACAAGAGCATGAGCACTATCCACTTCGCTCCTGAAAAGCAGAAGGGAGAGAGAGAGAGAGCGACACGTACATGGACGAGAGCGGCGCGCGCATGGGCAGAATGGGCGCGCTCTTGAGGCGCGACGTGTACGGCGGCGTGCGCTCAAACTGCTGCCAGCGCGCGGCGTCCCACCGCAGCAGCTTGCGGCCGCCCGTCGCGTCGTGCGTGCGCTTGGCAGCACGCAACTTGGCCGCGACTTCAGCGCGCGTGGCGGCATCGGCACTGTTCATGTTGTCGCTTCAACTAAGTGAAACAGAGAGAGAGTGATGGTCACTTGAGCCTTCTTCCGCGCGCAAAATGTTGGTTGCCGTTCAACGCGCGAGAAAAACCTCAACGACAGCACACCTTGGGTTTTGTTTTCGGGCACATAAGCCGTACACTATCGACAGCGGTGAGCTGCTGCTCTTAATAGTAGTCGCTGAATCCCTTGTATCATCGGCATGCAAGAAGGAAGGTGCGACGAGACATGCCCAACAAATGCGACCGATTGGATGCAAACTGATCTGCCATGGCAAGTTGGCGTCCACACAACTTTTCGAGCGTATTCCAATGGACACGACGTTCTGGTCACTGCTCCAGTTGCATACCATCTTGCAGGAATCCTTACGAGCTAATTTAGGTTTTTGAACATCTTTATTTGCGTGACCGGGTCTGTGCGTTCCATAGATTCGGCCAGCACCTGTCTACCTGAATCCTGAGATGCCTCACTGATTGCTGCTAGATATAGACGCTTTTCTCTCAGCGTCGCTTCCCGCATTTAGCGGCGGTGGACATTCACATAGTAGGAGACGTAGATATCTCATCGTTCAGATGTGGAGCAGACGCTGCATCGCAACCTCGAGCGTCCTCCCTTGCTGATCATCCTACCTTACATAAATTTTCCAAAATGATTTCGAAGACGTTGCCATCCATCTTTGGACTAACAATTCACATTCATGAGCTGGGATATACACTCGCCTATCAATATGCTACATCACGACGGAATTCACTGCAAAGGTAAGCCTTGTAAGGCATAATAGTTCCTACCACCCCAGCATATTGAGGTCAGAAGAAGTATACATTGTTATTTGCGTATGGATTCTATCCACAGAGCTCTATCGCCACTAATTGAATCCGATCTAGATAGGTCGGGCCCTCACCGCTTTCCTACATCTGTGACAGGTCGAGACCGCTGTATATTATCCTACGCCCATGCACTTGCGAGGTAGCGTTGGGAGTACGCGTTACAAGTTGACATCAACTCGGAGTTATGCATGTGATTTTTAATTCAAGTGCAAGTAGTCTCTAGCTTCACGCGAGTTACTTGTATGAAAGATCCAGTTGGCTATTAATGAGTCCGAGATGAACTTATCGAAGAATTGTAATACGACGCGCTGCACCCGCGGCCGTATGTACCTTCTGATATGTATGTGTGCGTAACTAAGGACACTTATAAAGGGCCTAGTGGATCGAGACTAGCGTGGCGTGCAATGATAACAAACAGTTACAACATCGAAATGACGGAGCAAGTGCTCCTATCTCTTTCGTGGCTAATGTTACATGGTCTCATGATCACTTTTTATCATATGTCCTATCTAGTTGATTGTTGTACTCCCAGCTGTACTGCCATGCATCAGACACACGCTTGACTTCCTCACCGGACGTTTATAGTGGTAAATAGACGTCAAGTGATTTGAATGGATATTCGCATAGTGCCGCGGCTGTACCTGTTGCGAGTCTGGCAACTTCCTCGCGTTTTCTGCCGCCTGTGCGCATCTTGCCATACTTACACCAAATACTGTTCCGAGAATGTCAGAGGTGTATCAGTCATGGCGAAAATTGCGTTCAACGAACCATCAGACGTGCTCTTCAAGTCCCAGTAATGATCGATTCCATTGTATTGGTGACTATTACGCTGATTATTACCCATCTGTCGCTTTTTTGACGACCACGGCGTTCCATGTGCAAATAGAGAGCCGTGAGCTGAATCATAGTATTGATTGCCTTGTTGTGTATGTTTTCTAACTGCACAGTTTCAGTCCAGCAGTAGTATATCTGCTATTTTTACGACGAGCAAACTTTGAGATGAGTGAAGCTGCATGTATGCAATCTAAGCTGGAAGGCTCTCCCGAGCTTCATTTGGCTCACGGTATTATAACCACCACACTAGCACGCATACCGCATTCAAGCCGATTCGAATCGAACAGGGTACAGGTATGCGCCATCCCATTATTACTAGACTTGCCGCTGCGCTCGGGCGTCCATGCGTTTTTTCTGCTCCACAGCCAACACGTCAGCATACTCGTGCAAGGGAAGACCGAACGGGTCAAACTGGTCTTTTGCAAAATTGGAATGCAGCTCGTTGATGCCAAAATACTCGACCACCTTCTCGAGGATGTACGGGTTGCGCACCTCTTTCTTCTCCTGTAGCGTCGTCTGAAAGTCTTGACCACGTTCGCGTTGAACGCGCAAGAACCGCTCAATGCGCTGCTGCGTCGCATTATCAGCAGCCAAAGGATCCGCTGCCGCTGGTATACCGGCTTGCAAAAGCATCTCCTCTAGATCGTTGTCGGTTAGAGTACCACCTGTCCCTTCAGCGGTCATAGTGGTGGATTCCAACTCTTGCTTGGTGGTATTGTCGCTTGGCTGGACTACACAAGTTCCATCCGTTTTGTCAGGGACTAGAAAAGCTGAGCCCTCAGCTGTTTGTGCAGCAGGAGAAGGAGCGACCGTCGGCTTAGTATGGGACACCAGTGGCGAGGTCATGACCTCCTCGTCCGACGAAGACGCTCCGTACTCGATCCCCAGCGAGTTCATCGGAGTTGCTGCTTTGCTGCGTCGCAGCAGTTGTAATTACCTCTTGGAGCCCTGCCAAACCTGATATTTTTGTAGCCGTGTTGTTTGAACCTCGCGGGTCTGGAGAAAATACACTTCCGAGTCGCGTCTTTGAACTTCTTCAAGGCCGATCCGCGTGGCCGAAGATGGCGCGTTGTGGCATCAGTTTGATCAAAACTCGGGAGTATACAGCCAAAAGCCTACTTGATTTACACACATAAGAACGTGAGCAACAACTATTCGTACGGCGAGCATTTTGCTGTTGCGTAATGACAGATGGAGCTTTTTCACTAGCTTCGAGAACGCTCGCCTGACAAAGGGTGTGTTGATCTACAGCATGTCGATGCACTAGATTTCTAGAAGAACGATGGTTGTATTTATACGGCGCTAGCCCGAGCCCAAATTGCATACGTGTTGCTGGATTACTGGCTATAATTTACAGAGCGTCTAGATTGTTCGCACGTAACCCTGCTCAGCAAGATTAATTCGAGCTTCTTCGGAAGAGCATCATTTGCTTGGACGGTAACATGCGAGATGGCAGCTCAGCACGAATTCGGAAACCATTCCCTTGGCTGTTGTTGCCTCTATCAATCATTCGCTTGTAGTCTCTTGGCAATGTGTGGATATCAACGACCGGACCATATTGCATCGACAGCTCGGCGTCGTGCGACGAGGTGTCTACGAAGCTACTGGCCTCTACAGAGCACACGACTCATGTGTGCTTGGCAAACCGCATGAAGTTGCGGGACGTCCGTATGGCTTATCTGCGATTATCGCCGTAATGACGCCTGCGACCATGTGTTCGACTCAAGCCCTTGCTTGACATCGAGTCTATCTTTCTTCGTGTCGACGATAATGGACAAGTGCTTGCACGGGGTCTACCCGGTATAAGAAGCCTATCACCACGACACATTAGCTAAGTTCCGGTCGAGGTGGGTGAAATGTGTCCTTCTTTAAGCAAGGCTGCTCCTGTGGTCACAAGTTTGTTTGTCCAGCGCCTGGTACTACTACATCACAGTGTAGTCGAACTGAAGACCACCTTGCAATGTCTATTAGAACGGAGTGTTCAGATAACATAATTCGTGTCGGGCTGAAATGGCGAGCTTGGTACACACGGCTGCAACGTAGTAGTAAGTCCCTTGTGAGTGAAAGGTTGCCGGGTGCTCTTACTGTCATTGTTTGCGCGAGCGACATGCTCGACTTTTCAACACTAGCTCATTTCTTCTTCAAGACCTTTTTTCGCTTGCCACAGTCTCATGGCTTCGACTTGCGCAATGTGCTTGACGGACGTGAACCAGTGATGCAACACCTAACTCGCAAAATGTTTGGCGAGACTGTAAAATCATTACTCGTAGAAGTCTTACGGCCAGGTAGGTGCACAGGTGGTGCTGCAACCTTCGTGGGTACGTTCGAACGCACCTTCAGCAGCAGGTCACGTAAATGAGTGCGTAGTCTTGATTGAGGTACTCGACCTCCCCTAAATGACACGACCATCGGAGCACAAGCAATAGAATGGGAAAGCAACAGCACATGCGCGGCTTTAGCTGTTTGGATACCTAGAACCTGAGGACAAAGTCGACAGGATTTGTGATACAGCCTTGTTTACAGGGGCACAAGTTCTCTCAATCACGTGGCGCGTCTCGATCTTCGACCTCACCTACACCGATTACGAGAACCAGTGCTACGTTCACAGCATTCGTTCCAACGTCGTCCCTCCGTCGCGTTTGTTGCCTCACTACATGTGCACTCTGTTTGCGGTCAGGTACAGTCGGAACAGCAAACTTCCTTTGCGCGTCGATAGACGACGCCAAAAAGCTCTCAAGATCAGTGAGTGCACTACATCTTGACAAACTTGAGGTCACGCACGACCTGCAACCGCTTCCACTGTACAACGCCGAGAGTTGGCCCATGTGCTGAACCTAGAAGTGTTTCAGACAGGACGGGGTCTAGGTCCACACACCTCAGCGTTCTAGATCTCATTTTTTGGTCCCAAAACAAACAAAACGCCACGTGCTCGTGCAAAGCGCCTCGTGCACGAAAGTCGTGTCTCTTCGACATCTGCCCCTCGCCGGATCCTGAGATTCAGCAAAGGAGGAGTCGAGTCGCCCCATTGCAAACTTTCAGTCAGTCATACCGATCCTTCAGTCAGTCGTAAGTTTTTCCCAGAAAGCGCACAGTCGCAGAGGAGATCGATCCTCCCTCCCCATCGCAGAGCCACACACATGATGGACACGGGCGTGTACCGCTACGAGCGCAACCGTGAGAGCCACGAGTTCTTCAGCCCCGGGCCGCTCTCCTCTGCGCGCACCGCCACGGCGCCGTCCGCCATCTTCAACCTCGTGAGCACCATCATCGGTGGCGGTATCTTGTCGCTCCCTTTTGCGTTTGACAAGTGCGGACTCGTCGTGGCGCTGATCTTCATGGCCATTGCTGCTTCAGCCTCGACCTTCAGCCTCTACGTCATTGTGAGCTGCAGTCGACGTGGACGGGCTTGTTCGTACGAAGAAGTCGTGCGCAAAGCACTGGGGCCTCGCGCCGGTCACGTTACCGTCGTGCTGCTCGTGCTGCTCACGTTCCTCACGCTCGTGGCATACGTCATCCTCACGAAAGACCTCGTGGGGTCGCTAGGGGCCAAGTTTCTCTACCATCGCCCCATCTCGGGGACCGAGCAAAACGGTCTGACCCTCCTCTGTGTGCTCCTCGTGTCGCCAGCGCTGCTCGCGCGCTCAATGAACGCACTACGCTTCACCTCCGTCTTCAGCCTCATGTCGGTGCTCGTGCTGGCCACTACCATCACGATCCGCGCGGTCGGTACGGTCGTGGCCGGCGGTCCCGACGTCGAGGCAGTCGCGACGACTGATGTGCGCGTTCCAATCAAGTTGTTCCCCGACAGCTGGGTCGATGCCGCGTACGCGTTCCCCATTATCTCGGTGGCGTTTCTCTGTCACTTTAACGTGCTGCCCGTGTACCGAGAGCTGCACAAGCCAACGCGCCACCGCCTGAAAAAGATCGTGGCGTCCACGATGTTCTACACGTGGTTGTTCTGCATGCTTGTTGGGACGATGGGCTATCTCTTTGCCTTCCAGCAGCCAGGAGGAGTGCAAGGGGATATCCTGAACAACTTTAGCGTCGACGACCACCTGGTGAACCTCGGGCGACTTGGCTTGCTCATCACGATTCAACTGAGTTTGGCACTCATCATCCAGCCATGTCGAGCCAACGTCCTTCGACTTGCTCGGATTATCCAGAGCTACGTGCAAGAACACGGTACAACGTTCGAGTCGAAGAACTCGGAAGGAAGAGACATGGTTGGAGAAAACACAACGCTTCTAGCTACCAACAGATCCGCCACTGCATCGATTGGGACACTCAATCCCTCCACGCCAGCGACGTTTCGCGCGCGTGTGGTCCACGTGCTGCTCACTGTCGGCATCATGGCCAGTGTTGTCATCATTGCACTGATCTCGCCGGGAGTGGCTGTCGTGTGGAACCTCATGGGCTCGACGGTCGGTCTCCTCATTTCCTACGTCTTACCGTGCGTATCCTACGTGAACATCCGCCACGAGAAGTCAAACATGGACAGACGTAAACTTACGGCCTGGATCATTTTCGTCCTTAGCTCTGTCGTTTGCGCCGTGTGCACCGTGCAAGCATTTGTGTCGGTCTTTCTCCTCTAGACCGCGTAAAGCAGCACAAGAAACAATCAAGCACACCAGATGAGCTGCATTACGTTTTGACAATAGTCGATTCTGTCATCGCCTTCAACAGATCTTTGGCATTCGGATCATGTGGCGCAGCCAGCTCTAACCACTTGCGCGCTGTGTCCAGATCCTTAGGCACCTTTCCATAGCCAGTGCGGTACATCTGCGCGAGGTTCACCATAGCCATCACAAACCCTTTCTCGGCAGCTGCGCGGAAAAGAGCCTCCGCTTGTAACGAGTCTTGTGGTACGCCATCGCCAGCAAGGAATAGGTGGCCCAAGTTGTACTGTGCCATGACGATGTCCGCAGCTGCTGCCTCTTTCCAGTATTGCACAGCGCGGGCCCGATCCTCGTTCACGCCGCCTGTACCGTGCAGGTAGTACTCACCCAATCGGGATTTTGCAGTCGGATCGCCCGCTTCCGCTGCCTTTGTTAACCACCTCAAAGCCTCCACCTCGTTCTGCATACAAATGATAAATCGAGTAGGCAATACAGCTACGCAGGCCAGCTATCATCGTTCCACTCACCTTCTCTGTCCCTGTCCCGTAAGTGTACATATTGCAGACGTTCATGTAAGCCGGCAAGATGCCCACCTCAGCACACTGTTTGTACAGCTCAAAAGCTTTCTTCTCGTTCTTGCGCGTGCCTTTACCGCTACACAGGGCGTCAGCGTACGCAAACGCACCCCACCCATGCCCTGCAGCAGCTAGCTGTACAAAGATTATTCCAACAGCTTATGCTTTTACCGCATTGCGGCATTGCCTACCTCTTTAAAAAGCCTCGTTGCACCGGTCACGTCCTTTTTAGGGAAACCTGACAACCAAACAATCATGTTCGCGCATATACGACATAATGTATCGTCAGTCTGATCGACAAGCACACGCATTGCGAGCAGGCACGGGCGTGCCACCCACCGGTGCCTTTCTTCAAGCACAGCGCGTAGCTGTACTTGGCTTTGTCACTTCCCTGCCCACGCAACGTAGCAACCATCACACAGGCTTAGTAGAAACGCACGAAAGCTCAAAATCGAGACCAAAACAGCTCCGCCACACTACACGTCTTCCCCTTCCCTTTTCTTTGCAGCGACTCACCTGGTCCATTGCAATTTTCCACACATGCAGCGCCTTCTGCACCTCTTGCTCGTTGTCAGCAGCGTTGGTGTAGATTAGATTCCCCAGACCGTGAAACTGCATCGGCGAGCGAAGTTTGGCCACCAATGGTGACTCTTGAAACTTTCCACGAACGTGTGAGACATAAGCATTCGTTAGGTGGTCCGCACACAACCGCCGTCAGCAGCCCATTGCACCTGCTCGAGTGTGACGCCGCGCAGACCAAGCCCACGCATCTTCTGCAGCACCTCTTGCAGCTCCTACACAAAGAAAAGAAAGACCGTATCCTCATCCAAATGCACATGTACACTGCAGACTTGACGTTGACAGACCCACCTCATGCCCTTCGTTGGCCCGCACACTGCGCGACTTGCGCCAAGCGCTTCGAAGTAGCTGCATTGATTGTTGACTGTACGAACTCATTTACCACGACCAATTGATACACCTGTCATCTTCTATACTTTTGCTAAACACATCGAAACCCATCGCTCTCTTCCCCAACGCCGTTGTCCGGCTCTAGAGCATCGCGCTGACACCATGGGGACTGATGTCCTCAAGACAAGACTCTGCGCGACGGCACTCTGCTGTCCGAGGGCTAGCATTACCTAGCATATGAAGTAGTCGTCGCCACGGCAGCTTTGGTACCAAGCGACAGGATATGGCGGGTCGCTTGCGTTCCTAAGATACCTCACCTTTTTACTCACTCTAATAAACGACGTTAATGTAAATATTTGTTCTGGTAGGTAGTGTTCGATATAATCTTATTAAATCGCGAGGCAATATCGAATATAACAACGATTACAAAAAGCAAATGGTATCAGTGCATCTTTTACGTGGGGAAAAATGCTCTCCGGTAAGAGAAACAAAAATGCATCACATGATGAGCGATAAAAATCGTGCACCAAATAACCGTAACGTAATAGAAAATGCGCAAATGATGCATACTGTACTACCACCGAATATTTCACGCCTGAGGTCATCTATTAACGTAGGCGCATATCTGCTTTATTCCCTCTTACTTGATCAAGTAGCCACCTGTTCATCTACACCCGTCGTCGACGATTGTATTGCACGAAGGAATCAATGCGTTGACGCTTCAAACGTAGGCTGACAGTGGTGTTTGTCGTTCGATCGCAAGGCCATGTTGCTTCTGCCTTTTTTATTCAGAACTTACAATCTGAGATGCTCGATATGTATAGCTGCTGTAACGGGGCACACCCTTGCGTAACTTAACGCAAGGGTTTTGAGTGCCCCGACAGACGTACACGTTGTAACGGGGCAGCCCGTTACATGATATTGTCACTTAAGGAAAGTGACAATAAAGAATATAAGATGGATATTCTTTAAACAATATCATCAAAGTGGTGATATTGAAGGGTCGACCAAAGGGTCTGTTCATTGGTTGATATCGTGATGATATCAACCCACCAATCGCCGCAAGACGCGCGCAATGAGTGGTGACGAGACGTCACCATACATGCAGTTATATTAGTATAATTGAATTAAGTCAAACGAAGAGACAGTAGTTTAAAGACTTAATTTATTAATATAACAGTTCTACTTTTAC